TCTTTGATTGTTTGATTAAGATTGCCATTCGTTATTTAAAATTGAAATATAATCACAAATAAATATCTTAGGTTTTTTAGATTTTTCACTATTGTTCAAATTTCATCAAAAAGTTTTTATGTGATTTTAGATTAAAGTGTTACCGTTAATTTTTTCATCCAAATTAATAGAAAAGTATCACACATGCTATTTTTTAGAGTTTGGTTTTCTGAAAAAATAAATGAAAATTTATATAATAAAACGATAATTCTACATCCATTCTGTCCAAGCCTAAATTAGATTAATATATTAACTAAAATAAATTAAATTAAAATATAATTAAGAATTAATCTAAAATATAAAATATAATTAACGATTGATTTAAAATATAAAATAAATAATATTTAATAATTGATATAAAATATAATTAAATTAACATGTTAGAAATTACAATACATAATTAAGAATTTAAAATTAATTTTGATCTAAAATATAATTAATTAAAATTAGATGAAAAAGTTAAGATTTATGATAAATAATTAAATATCTAGAATTAATTTTCATATAAAATATAATTAAATTAAAATTAGAATACAATGTTGAGAACTATAAAAAATAATTGAGTATTTATAATTAATTGCGATTTAATTTAATTAATGTTAAACATTATAAATTACGTGTATGAGAGAGCAGAGAGAAAGAAAATAACAACTATATATATATATATAAGGTTTGAGCGTATTATAATATTTTATATCTATAATTAACAGTATTAATAATTGTACTGTAGTCTAAAATCACATAAAAACTTTCTAATTATATTTAAATTATAAGTAAAATGTTTTGATAACAATGAGTAAAATGTTTTGGTCTCAAACTGGAAGCTGATAAAATAAAATTTTGCCCTACTATTAATTAAAGAGGGAATGCAGCCCACGGCTTCGTCCCCCTGTGAATCGTGGTTTTTCTCTTTAGATGCCTTTTTCACCCTTATTTTTATATTTGTTCAGTCAAAAAATCAAATCAAAAAATTATACAAAAGTCAAAAAGCAAAAAGAAAAAAAAAAGGAAGGTTAAAATATCACATCATATCATATATATTGATCAATTATTTTTTTCTTTACAATTATCTATTCAATTAAAAGATTTAATTATTTAGTGGTGATGAAGCAAATTCATGTGAAGCCCGACTTGATATTCATTAATTAAATAAGTGGAATTCAGTACTTTTGCTATTTTTTAAAAAACAACTTAACAAATATCAAACAATAAATAATGTGAGGTAATAATATAAGACCATCAAATAATCACTCATTCCAACCAAATTAACTTTTTCCTTCTCATCTCATAAAAAATTAAAAAATTATTAAAAAATGAAAGTTGCCAAAAGTGTCATTTTCTTACAGGACTAATGAATAGATTTTTCAACAATAATTTTTTTTTTTTTTAAATTTTGCATGCATGCTAAACGAGGTTAAAAATCAAGGGATATCGATCTATTGTAACAATAATAGTTATTTATGGTAATTGAAAAATAACTTCAATTGTAAAAGTCTCAATGATTTTGTCAAAGTCTTTTTTTTTTTTCTTTCTTCCCCCTAGTATAAAAAATTAAACTTTTAGCCATAAAAGGAGTAACAACTTTTTGTAATATTGATTTTTTATTTATGGTAATTAAAGAACAACTTCAATGACGAAAGTTTAAATAGTTTTGCCAAAATTCTTTTTGTTTTTAGTATAAAAAATTAAAAATTTCACCAATTAAAAGTGCTACCAATTTTATTATCCTTAACCATGAATCCATTTCCATTTCCGTTGCCGTTCATATCACATCATCATCATCTCATCTCATCATCACTTCATATCTCATCTCATCTCATATCATCATCATTTCATAATCTTATCTCATCACATCATATTATATATATCTATCTATATCTATATAATGAAGTAAGAGAATTTTTAAATTTTACCCTAAATGTCATATTAAATAGTTATGATGAATTCAATTTAATGGTTGAAAATGTTCTCCGCGGTATGTTTCATCAAGGGTTAAAAACATATAATGTAGGATTCAATTGTTGCGATCAATTTTGTATTTTTTATTTCTTTTGTCTCCCTTTTTATTACGCCTTTACTTCTCTTTTTGACCTATTTTTCCTCTCTTCCCGAGAAAATCGCCACCACCCTTTGAATTTCAAAATTCAGCACACCTTTGCTCAAATCTCACTCTACTCTTCCCTCACACACTTCCTCCTTCATTTTCTCTGGTGCCATCTTCTTCAAGAGTTAGATTTCTGATCATATCTAATATTTGCCTTCATCTCCTTAGGTGAGTTTCCTTTGATTTTAGCCTGCTCTTCACCTACCCAAGCATTTTAGCCTGCTCTTCTATTGTAAAATTCCCCATTTGGTTCCCTGAAATGAGAGGGAATGGTGATTTCTTAATTAATTATTGAACTGATTTACAATTTTAATTCTGTTTTTTTTTTTTTTTGAATAATACTATGAAATATACAATAGGCCATAATTTTTTTTTAATAAATTAAAATTGATATTTTAGTTGTGTACAACCTTTTTTCCTAATTGAAATTTTGTTACTAATTTGATTTTTTAATGATCTATGAATAAACTGGGGACAGAGGGTGCCAATAGCACAAGTGTAATTGGTTTTAACTGTGACAAAATTGTATTGGGAGTGCATTTAGGTGTGGATAATTCGCTAGTATATATATAAGGGAAAATTGACAAGGGGTTCAGAAAAAGTAAACCACAAATCAGTGGGGAAATATTTCTTTCACCAATAAATTATTTAAAACATAATAATATTAAAATTATCTTTTATTTTCAATGTAAGGGGATTGAATTAACAATCCCATCTCCCCAATGGGTATATCCTACCCTTGGTAGTCCAATTGGACTAATAGTCATGCAACATTTTAACGCAATTAAACATGATTTTGATATGTCTCACAAATTGTTAAATCAATCCCCTCTTCTAAAAGGCCAAACAAATGGGATACGTTTTCCTCCATAGCCCATCTCTCCATACCTTTCTATACTTTTCTCATAGGTTTCGATCTGAACCCGCATCGCTAATCTAAACCGCCTATCTCGTAGGTTCCACAATAAAGGTCATCCATGCAAAAATCAACTTTATCATAAAATTGTAAATACAAAAACAAATCGTATTTTGCTTATAAAACAATAATTAAATTTAAATCATCCATTTTATAAAATAAAATGTGAATTGTTCTAATATTTATAGTTGTCTGATGAAATTAGCTTTTTTTGTATGAATGACCTTTATTGTGAGACCTACAAGATAGGCGGTTTGGATTATCAATGTAGGCCTGAATTAAAACTCATAAAAAGAATATGGAGAAATGATGTATGGAACGGAGCTGATTGTGGAGAGTAAATGTACCAACCTGAGGATGTAAATTGTAGCTTTACTATGCTATATTATATATGTGTATGTACCATAAGATTGCATGAAGTTGAAGTGCAATTGAGCACAGCATTGGAGTTTGGAGTGTTTGTGTTTTGTTTTATATATATATATGTTCTACGTATAGCTTCAGTCTCAATTCTGCCATTTTTGTACTAATTGAAAATAAGTTGATTCAAACAAGGTGCTCCCATGAGAGCCATTGGTGGTTTATGCATATATTACTCTTGGGACCACTTCCATGTGCCCCTACTGCACTGCCTCACTTTTCTCACTCATAATCCTCTCTCTCTCTCTCTCTCTCCCTCAAATGAAGTACATTTCCAGTGATCAATCCTTTTAGTTACTCTGTCAAATAACTTAGAAATGTTCTTACAGCTCAGTCAAATATAGCTTTATATGAAGTTACAGCTCTCTTCACTAAGGATTACAACACTACCTCTAGGTAAATATAATTAAATCATAGAAAATACCTATCTATTGAGCAATTTTTTTTTTGTGAATTGAGGGTATGTGCCACTTGGTTCTCTCCTCCTTTCCAATTGATTTCGTGGGTCCGTACATTTATGTTGGTAATTGAGATACTAAGATAAAGGCATAGACATTTATAATTGATTGAAGGTATCACGTGACAATACTACACCCAATAATTTTTGATATCTTGGATGTAAAAATAGAAAATATCAAGAATATTCATATGAGTCTGGGCTTTCATATGCTTATTTTGGGTATATTTTTGTGGTATAATTATGTAGTAATTGTAGAATTTTATCGAGAATGTGGCTCGAATTAACTCTGGTATGGTAGGGTCTATACTTTTAATGAATCTAAATCATACATTGTCGAGATTTAACTTTCTTGTGGTGGGATTCATAATTTGAATGAATCTAAGACATTGTTTAGCATAGTTTATTGTAAATTAAAAACTAATAATAAATAGAAATCTAGAAGTATCATTTCCCTAACTTTCACATAATTAATTTTTTTTTTGAGTTTTTTTCCTCCAGCTATTTCTATCTAACAAACTATAAATAGAAGCCTATATAAATTCAATCCTCTCCATTCCATGTATGTAATGAAAGATTTCCATTACATATCTAATGGTTATGAATTGTGAATGTAAATTTATAACTCATTAAAATTAAAAAAACTTATTACACTCATCATTGGATGATATAATATGCAATTGAGAAAATCACAATAAAACAGTTTGATACAAATTTCTAAATTAAAATAAGTTATAAACACATCATTTAAATTGTAACAAACAACCTTAAACCATACACTATTTTTCTCAATAAAATTTCGAGTACTCATCACTTTTATAAAATCTCTGTCGATTATGTATAGTGTTGGAGACACTATACTTCGCAACATTCCAACATTCTGAATCTAGGACACTATAAGAGCTGATTGGACAATACGCATAATTTAACTAGTACCACCAAAATAGTGCAGCAAAATATTAATGTGGGGCTCTGAGTTCTTTGAGATTTAGATATTCCACAAATTGAACCAAACCAACTTTCCCTTAGTTCTCTCTATTAATGATTTGATTTGAATTTATTACCTATGGCAAACACATTTGTAGTGATATGGACTACTGATGGGGTCGTTTCCCTCTACAGGGACTTGCTCTGCTCTACACTTATACTTGCAACCTCTGCATTCATTGTATGTGCAAGTTGGTGCCGTTGATCCTATCATCAACCTTCTTGCATTACTGTTCATCCATTTTTCGCTGCTTCCCTACATGCCCCCCAACAACAATGACCAAGTTAGAGCACTAATTGAAACTCAACTCTTCTACTTGCATTGAATTCAATCACAAAATTGGAGATAACTCCCTTCGTGGAGATCCAATTTATGTGAGAGGGTTCGTGTTTGTTTTTGTGATTGAATTCAGTGCGTTTTGAATTTTTTTGGTTGAAAATAAGACTGAGCTATGATTTTCAAGGAATGTTTTTTTTTTTTTTTTTTTTTTTTTTTTTTTTTGCCTGACCTGCTGGTGAAATTCTCTTTCAGCTTGAATTCTGGACCCTGCAGCACCAAATGTCATATGAAAAGAAGTTCATACAAGTACAGAAGTTGAATAACATCAAAGAGATATCCAAATGTAAATTAGTAAACAGATTGGGGCATGAAGCACTTGGCCACCTTCTTGGCCATCCAGCGTTTGTGCTCAATAATTACTCAATGGTCATAATGTTTGGACAGGTATAACTTTGGGATTAGATTAATAATCTATCAATTAAGTAATTTTACTTTTAGGTAAGAAATATTGGGGTTTAAACATGATGATATCCTCCGTGTGAGAGATTATTGAATTCCAAGATGGAGGTGGGATACAAAATGGGAGATATTAAAGCTGTGCTTGGTTTATAGGTTTGGACATAAATTTGGAAAGAAAAATGAAAAAGTGTGAAAAATGTGTGAAATATAGTTATGTTTCATTCATATTTGACGTACATTGTTCATTTACTTTTTCAAATGCCTCACCAAATCCTTAAGCCAAACACATGAGAGAGGTTTAGACTAATTGGCTAAATTACAAAATTAATGAGATTTTATCAATCTTTCTTCATAATCCAGGCCAATCGAAACAGGACTAGTCGGGGTACAGTCTAGAATACCCACGTTACCAAAAGCAAACAAAATATACAAATTACACAAAAAACAAATTTTTTTTTTTTGGTGGCATGGAGACCCCATGAAAGCTTCATTGGTGGTCATGAAGAGGGGAGGAGAAGAAACATAGTTTGGAATCTCACAAACTCCATTCTGGGCTAGTATTGAGTCCAAAATTATTTTTTTTTTTTTTGGGCATTTGGTCTCAGCAGTAAACTTCTGGTAATGATATAATACATAATTTTAAACAGAATGATATGGCTCAATGAGACCTTTCACTTTAAAAATAAAACAACAGTGACTTGAATTTGCAAAAATGGTACTATAACATCATTCTTGTGGTGTCTTCTGTATAAATTTCATGTATGAATAAAGTTATCCAATTAATACACATTGATATACAATAAGCTAAGAGAACAAATTGGTACATCTGAGAACTAGCAGAGGTTCTACTGAAAAATGCTACGACAAAAAGCCCAGAAGAAACAGAACAACGAAGAAGAAGCACACACTAGAAATATGATTCCTAGAACAAAGTTTAGAAAGAACCAAGCAAGAAAGGATGTGGAATTAATAAAAAGAGAACTAGATATGGGTTAGTACAACCTGACCTTGTATGGCAAGTGCAGCACAAATTAAGGTGAAGAGCAGCAAGAGTAAGTTGGTTTGTCTAGTGTTGGCCATTCTTCTCTTGGGATAAGTTTGAAGAGGAGAGAGAGAGAGGTATGATTTAATTTGTGGACAAGTAATGAGCATAAGAGATAGACTGGCAAAATATGCAGTGCTAACAACACACCAAAGAGGTCTCCAACTGGGGTGATTCGATTGTATTGTAAAATTACAAAAATGCCCACTTTTTTCTTTCTATGTATTACAAATGAACTTTGCTTTATTTTGATTTTTTGAAGGGTTATAATAGGGTTTTTGGAGGTGAGTGTAGAGGTGTCTCACCCACCAACAAACAGTCTTTAGGGCTTGGGAAAATGTTTTAAAGATTATTCTGTGAAAATTCCTAGAAGAATGTGGAAACCATGCAAAAGACACACAGATTATGGCATTATATATAATATGATCAGCGGACCTTGAATGCATAGTTGAAGTGTTTGAACAACCGACCAATTTCAGGAAAAAAAAAAAAAAAAAAACTAGTCAGACTTTGGAAATGATGCTTCATGCTTTTGTTTACCTTTTTTATTAAGAAAAATTTATCATTTTGCATAATGATGATAAACACAAAATTATTTAATTAAAGTTTATTTGAATTCATTTATTCACACAACCTGGTCCCTCCCTTTTTTTTTCTTTCATAAATCGATAAGAAATCATTTATAGATGGATTACATTAAACTGAACATTCGACTCTGTAAAAAAGTTTCAAAACAATTCTAAGTACAGAACACGCCCAGTAATTACACTTTCATCAATGTCAATATCTAGAGAAATCGAACTTAAGAACTTCACAATTGAAATAAATGTCACTAAACTACATTGATATCAGCATATTATTTCACTTTTTAATTCTCAGCATTCCTTTGACTATCGCTACTAGGCCAACAACACACCACCATACTAACAACAACTAATCGATTGCTAGATCGTGAATGCAGTGTGTTGAAATTTTGAAAATCATACTAGGTTAACTATGCAAATTCCATGAGACGGTTGCTATTCATGGACCACAAAGTTTTTCTCAGAGAGTACATTTAAGTATTTTTCCTTAAAAACAAAGTCATTTAAAGCAAATGGACATTTTAAAATTCAATTTACAGTGAAAATTTATTAGATTCTTTTAAAATATCATGTTGTGTTCGGACAAATTAAAAATTATAGTATATATTAAGTTAGTCATATTTTATCTCATAACACCTAACAAAGTAAGTTAGTATGTTCATACGTAAAAGAAATTTTACGTGAATAGTTTGGAATCTCACATACTAGGAAGAAATTCGTAAAATTCGTAATCCGATCCAGTCCAGTCCAATTTGATAGGTTTAGATTGGTTTTTTGAATCCGTGGTTTGGTTCCGGATTGAAGAATTAAAAATCCGTAGTCCACGGATTGGTTTTGGATTGAATCCCACGGTTCCGGATTGGAACCGATCCGGACCGTATACAAATAGTCTATATTTTTATTATACATCCTCCCCCATAGTATCTTCTCTTATTCTATATAAAATTTAAACTCAAACCTAAACCTCGTATAATATTTTCTTTTATTACTTTTGTTTTTTAGTTTTTAGTTTTAATTTGTAATGGTCTAAATACTTATGGTGAAACCAGTTTTTTTATGATTGTTTAAATTCTAGAACATTATGTCACTATTATAGAAAAACATGTTGTTATTGTAGAATTAATATAGCGCTATGTTTATATTTTTATAAAATTAAAGTGTTATATATATATATTTTTGTTATTTAATTATGTGAATCTGTAGTCCTAAACCGATCTAATCCGTGTTGAAATGGATTGGTTCGGATTGGTTCCAAGATTCAAACAGATTGGATTGGTTCCGATTTTTCAGGAACCGTAGATAACGGATTGGTCCTCATTTTATCCCAATTCAGTCTAATCCAGACCATGCTCACCCCTATCACATACATAATGTTATGATATTCCAAAACTACTGTATAATTATTATACTTTCTAAGAAGATAGAAATACAAGAAGGTAAAATAGTTGTTCATAAATCTTAAATTCTAAACTTTAAAATAAGTCATTCAACAAGCTTGGTTATCATTTTTTAAAAACACTTTTCAAAAAATTTTACTTTTTTATTTTTCGTGTTTTTTTTTTTTTACAGAATTTTTTTAATATTTTGAGCAATTTTTTTAATTTTTAAACATACCTAACATACATATACCTAAAAAGTAAAAAAAATTGAAAAAATCTTTTAAAAATTGGGATGACCTAAATAAGTACACTTTTTGTCTTTTTACGAAAAGATGTGCAGAAAAGTAGAGAGATGATGTGATAGAAAAAAGATAAAAAGATAAAAAATGTGTACTTATTTTGGGTTGCCAAACTTGACCTAAATACCCAAAACACACGCACACACAAAAAAAAGAGAATTCAGTATATTTTTTGTATTTTTAAGTATTTATTAATTTTAAAAATATTTTTTTATAATTTTTTTTATTTTTTAGATACATCTAAGTAAGGTGCATCTAAAAAAGTAAAAAAAATATTTAAAATTTTAAAAATATTCACTAAAAATAAAAAAACACGAAACTCAAAAAATTTAATTTTCAAAAAACTTAATTCAAAAAATTAAAACCAAACACAAGATTTTTTCCACTTTCTAGAAATGCAACAAGGTAAACAAGTTTTCCTTGGCATATTAGAATGCATTTACTTTCGAAAAGGCAAACCAAACCATTACTTTGTATTTATTTATTTTTTATAGTTTTGGTAAAGGGACTAGGTTAGTCATAGTTCTAAACAATTTGAATTATTACTATGAATTTAAAATGGGATTTACGAAATAGAGGACGACTAGGTTAGTCGTAGTTCTAAACGATTTGAATTATTAATGTGAATTTAAAATAAGATTTACCAAATAGAGTATGACAAATTATGGAAGATAGTAGCATGAAGGGGAGATATTCTTGATTTTTAGTTAGTTTTTTTTTAACATCTTTAGCAATAACTTTCTAATTAACATTCATTTTTGGGTAAATTATATTGACACCCCTTAAGTTTTGTCTTTAATACAAGTACCCCCTTCACGTTTTGAAAATTACATCCCCTCCTTAAAATTTAAACTTTCATTACAATTTAATTATTCCAGTAGTCAATCATTAGGTCAACTAACTAATATAAGAAATTAATGTTTAAAACGTCTATTTTACCATTCTTTACATATATAAAATTGACAAACAATTTATCGTTTAAGAAAATTTCATATGGCCCAGTCATGTTCTTTGGTTATGACCTATTATAGTGTTATAACTATTTTTTTTGATCGAGTGTTAGTTATAATTATTGATTATAACATTATTTTGGTTATGATTTAAAATGTATTTAGTTATGCCTTATGAGGTGTTTAATATAACTATTTTTTTTTGAGTTATGATTGAAAATTATCTAATTATAATATTTGTGATAATTAACACCACAAAAACTTGTGTACTATAACATTATCTAAATATTTAATAGTATAGTAATATATGTATTAGTATTAAAGGAATTTTTGTAATTCCTTATGTAAACACCCCATTTTCATCGATCCTAAGATTTGGACGCTTTCTGTTGAACTCTTAATGATGAAAATTGAAATATGTTATTTTACAAGTTTCTCAGTAAAAAAATCAGATTTAAGCTTTAATCTCAACCTTCACCCATTTTGATCAAATTATTTTAGCCTCTTAAAATATATTTTATTAGTTTAATATGTTATAATTTTACATATTTTATGTTTGTACATATTTGGAGTGTTTTTATTTTTATTAATCGGTATAAATAATATATTTGAGATATTTTATATTATGCTAAACTAATTAAATAAAAAAATAAATAAAAAGTAAGAGAGAGAGGTCGGTACCGACCTCCTCCTGCCGACTTCAATCACCCATGCATTCACACACACACACACACACACACACACACACACACATAATATCTACGACTATCCTATATTATACATCTTTCTTGTTTTCACTTTTCAAAATACACTTTTCAGAAAATTCTATTTTCTTATTTTTCGTGTTTTTTTTATTTTTAGTGAATTTTTTTAATATTTTAAACAATTTTTTTACTTTTTAGACATACCTAACATAAATATACCTAAAAAGTAAAAAAATTTAAAAAAAATCTTTGAAAAATTCACTAAATACCAAAAATATAAAAAAAATATAAAAATTCAATACATTTTTTATATTTTAATATATTTATTAATTTTTTCACAATTTTTTTACTTTTTAGATACATCTAAGTAAGGTACATCTAAAACAGTAAAAAAAATATTTAAAATTTAAAAAATATTCACTAAAAACAAAAAAAATTCAAAAACCAAAACAGTCAATTTTTAAAAAACTTAATCAACACACTGTTTTGTTTTGTTTGTGGGAAATTTTGCCTATAAAAGAAAGGGAGGGGGAGGCTCAAAAGAGAGAGAGAGAGAAAAATAAAAATAAAAAAATCTAAGGGAGAAAATCAGGAAAGAGAGAGAGAACGGAGAAGAGAAAAAAATCAGAAAAGAAAAGTTGAAAAAGAGAGCGGAAAAAGAAAGTCTTTAGATATTTTTTTTGAATTAAACTTTTCTTTCCATTCTTTTTATTGTCTTTTTATCAATACACCAAAACACTATTAACATCGAAATTTTAAATTTTAAATTAAGAATTGAAAATACATTTCACAATTTTGAGAGTGATCAAAAAAAAGTTTAGAAATCAAAAAAATTCATGGGTCCGTTTGTTTTAATTTTAGAACAATGATTTGAGTGTGTAGTTGTATTTTGAGTTTTAAATTTTTAAATTATAATTTGAAACGAGAAAATTTGTTTGGTTATGAATTTTGAAAATAATTTTGGAATGATTTGTAATTTTTTTTTAAAATTTTGATTGCTTGATATATAGAATGTAAGAGAATGTGAGAGGAGAGATGAGAGAGAAAAAGTAATTGATTGATTGAATAATAATAAATAAATAATAAAAAAAGAGAAGAGAGGAGTTTTGAAAGTAATTTTGAGTTGTATTTTAAATATATGTTTGGTTAATATGTTTCATCCAAATTATGATTTAAAAACAGAATTTCATTTTGAAAAATAAACCAAACGCTACCCATCATTTCCCTAAAATGTGAATTTTCATTTAATTTAAATTATAATATAACTTGTTTAAATACTTCATTTACTGCTTTTCATAAC